CCGAATTTGTGTTATAATTATTTTGGCCACGAGAGGGACCCAAATGCTAGTTTAAGGGAGGCAAGATCTTAACGCCATATCAAGTCGCTACAGTTACCAGTTTTCCTTTATTCCCTCTACCTTGAAAGTGAAATCTCTCCCATAGTGACCACACAAACACCTGTCAATTGTGGAGGGCTATCTGTTACTTTGTTTAGGAAGAGGAAATGTAGGAAGGGAAAAAAAAGCAACACTTAAGAAATTTTTAAATATTGGTTATACCCAGTTACTCCTGAAATTGAGGCAGTAGCATAGCAAGTGTGTAGCCAGCCTGAACAACTTGGCAAGACTCTATGAGCTTTCCAACTACCCAGTCTGGGGGTCTAGAAAAGTCATACAGCCCTTGTGTGCATGGGCCAGACTCTGGGCTCAATCTCTAGTACTGGGGAAAAAGAATTATTTAGAAAAGAGGGTTTCTTGAAGCCCAAATAAAAGAGCCAAGAATTTGAATATAGACTAAGGATTTATATTCATCCAAAGAATTATCATTATTTTTTCAGGGGTATTATGGTATTTTAGTTAAAAACAAATAAATGTATATGCCTACAAGCAAAACAATCAAAATAAAAGCCCTCCAAACAGTCCAGGAGGGAAGAATGGATCCCAACCATGAGCATCAGCTTACATTCCTGAAAGTTTGGTGCTCTCCTGTCTCAGAAGACCCAAGTGAAAGGTGTCCTTGCAAGGTGTCCTTGCAAGAGGAAAAACGTTCAGGCCAGTGTGGCTGCTAGGCCATGATGGACTGGCAAGTGGGACAGGGGTGGGGTAAGATACAGAAAGCCAATCCCCAAATCTGCTCCAAGGAAGTCACTTTGCCTTGAAGGACTGCAAACTTAGGAAAGGGAATTTCATGTTAGTTCTGGACAGGCTTCTGGAATTTCTATTCTCCTTAGATGCTTTCTCTAAAAAGGGGGGGTATCTTTTTCCTTATCTCAAGGAAGAAATTTTCATCAAAAATAAGTATTCATATCAAGAGTGTATGAAAAGACTACACCAGGTATGAATGGTGATTGCATACAGAACTAGAAGGAAACCCTGTCTGGGGAGCTTTGTGGTTATTTTAATTGTGTAGCCCCCAGAAGAAATAATCCCATTCCCTGCTTTTCTTCTTAATATACTTATGCTGTTTCTCCTCCCCTATAAGAAAGCTATTTATATGGAGACTGATTATAGGAGATATTTTTTACCAAAAATAAATAAATATTAGTACCTAACCACCCATGAAATAAATATTTCCTTCCCTGATTGCCCACCTCCCACTAAACTGTCCCCATGTTATTCCCTATTGCAATTTTACATGTATATGTCCTTCTCAGCACTCATGTGAAGCACTAGGTATTTCATTTGTCTGTTTCCTTGTTTACTGACTATCCCTCCACTAGACTATAGGCTCCATGAGGGCAGGACCTGGGTCTATTCACTATCTCAGCTTTGAACAAAACAGTATGTGTGTGCTCAGTAAACAGTTGTTGAATGAATAAATGAATGAGGAGAAAATTTAGTGTCATCCAAATTCAAGAGGGGGAAAATGGAATCTTGGATGATTTCTACCACAAACATTCAGGTGTGAACAGGGCTATTGAAACTATTGCTGTTTTTCAATAGAGCCCAATTATAATTACTGTTCATTTACCTGTGTTCTCCAAGAAGTACTACCTACACTAATTATTGACATTAAATCATATAAGTGTGAAATTTCACTGTTGAGATGGCAAAACATATCCTAATTTTGCTCTCTTGTTAGAAGGCCCTGCTGACAAATCCCTTTTTGGAAGCCAAGTTCTCCCCTAATTGAGCCTAATCATTGTAGAACTATGATTCACTGCAAAGAGCAGGGATAGGGAGTGAGTGTTCCCAGAGTTGAGTCCCAGCTTGGCCACTTAACAGCTGTGTGACCTGGAACAAGTCAGCTTTCTTGAGCTTGTGTTTTTCCCACATAAGAATGCCTTTCCTCAGGGCTGTGTGCCTGACAGGCTGGACCCTGGAAACTATTCAATTTCCCTGTTCTTACCATGAGCGGAGGGGGGAGCCAAGATACCCAAGACACCTAAAACTTACTCAGGTAACATTTTACTTAAGAAATGAGAATTCAGGGCTGGGGGTATAGCTCAGTGGCAGAGACTATTCTTGAGGCCCTGGGTTCAATTCCAAATACTGAAAAAAAAAAAAAAAGAACAGAGAACACTGACCACATCCCCATTGCCCCAACTCAAACCTTCTCTCCAATCTTCATTTCAATATTGTCTTCATATTAAATGGGCATTCACAGTGTGAACACTGTGAATGTCCATTTAATATGAATTGTCCACTTCCACAGAGTGACACTGCTTCCTCCACCAAGTCTCCACCAGCTTTTACTTTATCCTTCAATATGGTGAAGTGCTCAGAGCCAAATATGTTCAATGTGCTATGGAGGTCAAGGTTTTTAATCCCATCATTAGTGGGCTACAGGAAAGGGATATTCTGAGCAGTACAGCCATATGCAGGGCAGAAGAAGGGTGAAGTTCTTTAACATTTAGGAAGTCTTTACAAATCAATTAGGAAAACCAATTAGGAAAAGAACAAGCATAGAAAAATGAATACTAAACCCAGAAAAACAAATGTAAAATGTCAATAACCCTGCGAAAACATGCGCAGGCTTACTCATGAGTAAGACAAGTCAAAATAATAAGACACCATTTTCACCTATCAGATTAACAAAAATTAAAATCAATAATATCCAGTGTTGGCAGGAGTGTGGAAAACCAGGCACTCTTATATACCACTGAGAAATATAAGCTGAGCAATTAACAACATCAAAATTTTAAATATAAACCTCAACTTTAAATCAACTTCTGTTCATCAAATGTTTTCTCATTTGGAAAGTGAAAAAATAATCAACAGATGAGAAAATATATTTGCAAAATATTTAATAATCAATTAGGAGCAGGGCATAGTGGTACACACTTGTGATCCCAGCAACTCCTAAGGCAAGTTTGAGGCTAGCCTGGGCAATTTAGTGAGACTTTGTCTCAAAATAAAAAATTAATAAAAGGACTGGGGATGGGCTCGATGACTAGTACTGCAAAAAGCAAAATTATATAGACAACAAAGAAAAGACAAATTCACAACCATTAAAAGCTTTGACAATATCTCACAGAATATAGTGTGACTGGGGTAAGCCTGTCAATTAGCACACCAGTTTAGAGAATACTTTTAGTATCATGGACAATTCCCCATATCTATGAACCAACAATTCTCCCCCTAGGTAAATATCCTAAAGAAATCCATAAGGGAGAGAACTGAACAAAAACAGATGAGGTAGAGAGGGAAGATGGGAGGGGAGGGGAGGGGGGATAGTAGGGGATAGGAAAGGCAACAGAATACAACAGACACTAATATGGCATTATGTAAAAATGTGAATGTGTAACTGATGTGATTCTGCAATTTGTATTTGGGGTAATAATGGGAGTTCATAACTCACTTGAATCAAATGTATGAAAGATGATATGTCATGAGCTTTGTAATGTTTTGAACAACCAATAAAATAAATAAACATGCAATTTAAAGATATACAAGTATGTTCACAGCAGGGGGCTGGCGGTATAACTCAGTGGTATGTGGGATGGAGTAGTCATTAAGACCCTAAGGAAATGAATAAATAGATAAATAAGCAATTACCTAGCATGTGAAAGACCTTAGGTTCAATTCTCAGGCCAGTCAAAAAAAAAAAAAAAAAAGAATGTTCACAGTCATGTTGTTTGTAACAGAAAAACTGGTACAACTTTAATGTCCATTAACTAGAAAATAGATACACAAGTTGTGGTAATCTCGAAGCTCTTCAAACGTCTTTTGGTGGTAACTTGAAGCTATACAGTAGTAAAAATATGTCCAAAAAGCTACCAACATGGGGATTGGGTATAGCACTTCCTAGCATGCAAAAGGCCGTGGGTTCAATCCCCAGTACTGCAAAAAGAAAAGAAAGTTATCAACATGGAAAAGAATCTCAGAAATATAATATTGAGGAGAAGATGCAAGTTCCCAAAGAACTCATATGATAAACACATTCAAAGCATTGCTTGGGATAGATATTAGCAAATTCAGGATCCTAGCATCCTGGGAGTGGACAGAAGGAGATGGCCATCAGGCTGTCAGAGGAGCATTTACTTGTGTTGACAGTGTGTTATTGTTGTTGTTATTGTTTTCAAGTTTTTAGTCTTTAATCTTTTTTTTGTATGTCTTAAATAGGGTGGAATAACATTTTAATTTAATGTACAGGCCAGGTGCAGTAGCACACGCATGTATGTAATTCCAATGACTGGTTAGGCTGAGGCAGAAGCATTGCAAATGCCAGGCCAATATGGGCAACTGAGTGACTCTGTTGTCTCAAAATAAAATAAAGGGGGGCTGGGATGTGGCTCAAGCCGTAGCGCGCTCGCCTGGCATGCCTGCGGCCCGGGTTCGATCCTCAGCACCACAAACAAAGATGTTGTGTCCGCCGAAAACTAATAAATAAGTATTAAAAAATTCTGACTGTTTAAAAAAATAAAATAAAGGTTGGGGATGTAGCTCAGTGATATAGAGTGCTTGCCTGGCATGTGTGTAGCCCTAGGTTAGATTTCCAGTACCACCAAAAAAAAAAAAAGAGAGAGAGAGAGAAAAGTAATGTACATATATATGCCAGATTCAGTGGTACACAGCTGAAGTCCCAGCTACTTAGGAGGCTGAAGCAGAAGGATCACGGGAGTTCAGGTAGCCTGGGCAACATAGTAAGACCCTATTCCATAAATAAGTGAATAAATAAATAAGCAAACTGCTGAGGGAAGCAACTCAGTGCTGCTTCACGTGTGCCTAACATGCATGAGACCCTGAATTCAATTCCCAGAAGTGCCCCCATCAAAATTAATATACATATACTTTCACTTAATTCCACTGCCATAAATGTCTTACATTCATGTCAACATATATGAGAACACCACAAAGCATTTTACCAATATTTGCTTTATTTCAAATCATCATTCTAAAAACCATAAACTTTCTACAACTAAAAAGCTTATTTTTTAGAAAACCTATTCAAAGAGGAAATTAAGACTCAAAGCCATTCACAGAGTGGGCTGGCATGGCCCAGTGGGAGTGGCTCCTGGACCCCACAGTAATATCAGGCCTGTGGTTCATCTTGTCTGACCAGAGACAGCACACTCTGGCTTCCACCTTGCCCATGTTGGCCCTGCTCATCAGCTTCATGCTCCACACTGCTGAAACCTGGGAGGGCAGAGCCGCTGGCATCAAGGCCAGAGTAAACACTTGGCTCACACCGTGGGTACACCCAGGGGTCTATGAAGCCTTCTTGGGCCCAGGCCCACATAGTCAGGAAGTTTATGACTGAAAAAAAGAGAGACAGAGAATATGAAGCTGAGTGTAGGGACAGAGGCTCTTGGTGCTAAGTTACCCCAGAATCAAGCTCCCATTTTTCAGCATAGTCAGAACACCAGAGCGGGAGCAGAGCCCAGTGATTGCAACCCAGAACCTCCCGATCCCACTGAAACCAGAAATGTGTTGCTTATATCTTTTGTATTTGACTATTGAGTAAATTTGTTTCCAAAAGCAAAGGGCTACAAAGAAAAGTTTGGAAATCTTTGAACTATAGAGTACTGGTGAATATGTGGTTCTCAAACAGAATAATAAAACTTTTGACATCTGTTCTTTCATTTCTTTGGCTGTGAATTAAAAGAGAGAGAGAGAGAGAAAGAAAAAAAAAACACCTGATTAAAAAAAAAAAAAAAAACACCCTGCCCTCCAGAATCATGCAGGGCTGGAAAGATCAAATGAGGTAATAGCCATCTTCAACTAAGAGGCCCTCAGGAATCAAATTTATTATTTCCTTCCTTTATAAACGAGGGTATTTTCAGTTCAAATAATTAGTCATGCAAACAGCACTGTGTTTCTTCTAGAAAAAGAAAAAGGAGAAAGTGACAAAGAGGAGAAGGAAGGGCAAGAAGAAAAGCAACAGCGCAGTCCCAGTTTTAAAAGAGAGAAAAAAGCCAGGAGTGGAGGCACACACCTGTAATCCCAGAGGCTCAGGAGGCTGAGGCAGGAGGATCACAAGTTCAAAGCCAGTCTCAGCAATTTAGCACAGCTCTAAGCAACTTAATGAGACCCTGTCTCAAAATAAAAAATAAAAAAAAAGGGCTGGGGATGTGACTCAGTGGTTAAGTGTCCCTGAGTTCAATCCCTGGTACAAAAATAAGAAAAAAAGAAAGAGGCAGAGGGAGGGAGGGAGGAAAGAAGGGAAGAAGGAAGGAAGGAAGGAAGGAAGGGAGGGAGGGAGGGAGGGAGCCTGAGTTCCAGTGCCTGTCACTAAAAGAATAGAGGGTGAGGAGGGAACCTCAAGGTAGAGAAGATAAAGTATCAAGCCCTGCTACAAGGTACCAGCACTCTGTGGCTTGCAAAATCCTACAGACATTTCATTTGGTCCTCACAGAATGTGATGCAGGTTTTGTTAACCCCCATTCTATGGATGAAAACACCAAGATTCAGAGAGAATAAACAACCTGGCCAAGGTCAGGCAGAGATCCTTGACTGTCTGAGCTGCCACCAGAGCACGCACATGGCCTCCACAGCCTTGCATTGGGGCTCCTGCTCCTAATCCCAGGGTGTTCCCTGGCCTCATCACTCTCTTTCTGTTAGCTTCAAGATGCACGGCATCTTGTTCATCCCTTGGCTTCTTTCCTCTCTACAGATTCTCTTCCCTGGCTTCCAGCCTCCTGGAAGCTTCCCCATTGAGATCTCACAGTCTTTGCAAATATAATCTCTAAAAGGCTTGTCTGGCCTCCCCACTCCCTTGCCCCTTCTCTCAGGGATTGTCCCTTCTCCCTGCCTCCCAGGTCCCAAAATCAGCATCACTTTTCGTGATTTCTCCCCTTCCCATATACACAATCATCCCGTCATCTCAATCCTTTCTTCAAAACATCTGTTACCTCTCACTATTGGTTTCTACTTTTTCTCAACACCCAGCACTGTGACCTGATGCCTGCCTGGTTCCTTGCAGAAGCCTCCAACTGATTTCCCTCTGTGCTTCCCATTTACCCTGTTCATAGCTGCCAGATTGGTTGTCCTTAAGACACCATCTTCATCACAACATTGACCTGCCTGCCCTCCCACTTTGCTGGACCCCTTGCTGCCTTCATGAGATCAAGTTCACACTCAGCCTGCACTTAAGAAGCCTGTGTCTGGCCTCCCATGGCTTTCTAGCCTCAGCCTCCACCTCCCAATTCCCCAGTATGGCAAAAAACGATTGCTCACCACATGCACTTCCCTGACACCAGTCTTTTCCTCCCCTTCCCACTATGGCACCCTGTTTCCCCAGGAGCCTGTCCCCTCCTTTCAACTGCCCACCTGCAGTCAAGGCCTCCAGAGCCCTCCCCCCAAAGCCTGCAGGATTCATTATCTGCACTGTTCATCAGCCCAGTAATTATGCACTGTCTTGCAACTCTCTACTGTTTAGCCCGGAACAGGCATTGAAACTGACTAGGGCTATTTTATCTCCATATCTCATGTCTCTTTCTCTATCTCTATGTATATTTCTCATCACCCCAACAGCATAAACCACTTGCAGGTGAAGTCTCTCTAATGAGTCTGTTTCTCCCTACAGTACCTAGTAAGTGTTGGATATATACATATTTTGATTTTGCTTCTCTTCCCACATATGTTGGCCTCAAACAGCCAGGCTGGCCAGAAGAGTAAGCACTGGCCTTGGAGACCTGACTTGGCCATCACTAATCTCCCACAGGCCAATTTCATGTTACTCTCCCAGTTCGGGGTCCAAATGCAGGCATCCAGGGTTTCAGTGGCTCTAAGGGGTTATTGTCGTTCAGAAAGGTTGATGATCCACGCAGCCTGGAGCCGGCTCTGGTTGTTGATTTGGTGATGGTGTTTCCTTTCCTTTCTCTGGATTGCCTAACCCAGGGAAACATCCCTAAGTATGAGGGAGGGGCTGTGTTTAACCCCTGAACCCTTACTTGATCGTTGGTGAAACCACTCCAACCCAACTCCAAGGCAGTCTAAAGCACCCAAGGGAAGCCCTGCCCTTGAGAGAGAAAGAAGACACTGCACCTTTAAGTCTGCAGCCAGTGGAGAAAAACAAGCTGTGATTTATATAAGCGGGAAAATCATGTGATTTGCAGGAACGCTCCCTCCTCCCGGCCCCCGCCCCCGACGCCTCCGAGCCCTTCCCCGAGGGGCCCGGGCGCGGGCTGGGCTGGGCTCGGCGGCAGGGGCGGCGCGGCTCCGGCGCGCTCGGCACAAAGCCGCCGGCACGGGGCGCACTCCCGCGGCTCTTCCCTGGGGCCTCGGACGCCGTGAGGCGGCGGCCTTGGCGCGCAGAAGAGTTTGGTCCCCAAACAGCCTTGCGGCAGGAGGTCCCCAACGCGACCCCGCGGTGTGCGGCCGCTGAGGACGCACAAAGCCCTGGGCGTAGCTGCCCGCCAGGGGCCCGCGACCAGCCCCGCTTGCCCCCCTCAGGTGAAAGTATGCCGAGGGGACTTGAGGCTTCCCCCAACTTCTCAGAGAGAAAGGAGAGCTGGGGCACCCAGCAGGAGGGGAGAGCAGTTCAAGAAATAATTTGGTTGGGAAAGGGCATGATGAAAATCAGCCATTTCTACATCTGAGAGCTAGATGTATTTAGCCAGAGGACGCAGCTTTCATGAAAGGAACTGATGTGGCCTTTTCAGGCAGAGTCAAGAGAGAATGTTGATTGGGAGGCCCTGAGAACTACCACAGATTTTTCCGACATTAAAGGCAGGGTGGGTTCCCTGGGAAAAGCACCATAAAGTTAAGACTGACAGCTCCTGAAGGAAAAGAAAATGCTCAGATCCTGCTGGGGTACAGGGACTGAAAGGTCATCTCAGTCATAGCCCTGTTGTTGAATATGCTTATGGGGGGAGAGGATTAGCAATATCTTCCAAAACAATATCCAAAAGGTATCTTCCAAAAAGACACTGAGAAATCCGAGGGGCTTTCTCAATGGAGAAAGCTGGAAGGAGAGACAAGGGGTCTCTCTCTCAGCACCTTGTCCTTCCAGTAAACCACAGTGTCTGCTCTGAAAGTATCCCAGGAAAGAAACCCATAGATTCTCAGAGTAACCAATTCAAGGGGTTAAAGCTTGTCAGAGATAACGTTTAAATTCCATTTGAATTTCCTCCACGGTCGGTCCTCTGCTGGGGATGAGGCATAAACCCAGGGCTGTCACGTGGAGGGAAAACATGATGCAATTAACCAAGTTGCTAATGCATCATCTCACCATGACCTCTGCCATCAGCCTCTGTCCCAGCCCACTCTCTGCATCCCACACAGCCAGCTGCTCCTAGGAAGGTCATGGCAGCCCTCCTCCCATCCCCCCTTTCCCTGTCCAATGGAGGATCTTTAGGCTGAGTTCATTTCAGAAACAGTGCCTCAGTGCCCTCTCACAGGAGCAGTAAGAAGACCCTTCCTGGAGAGGGAAGCTCACATTTTTGGTTATTCTTAAAATCCTAAAGAAAAATTGGGATTGTAGGGGATAGCATTCTGGCCATTCAGATAGATGCCGAATTCACTCATTCAGTGATTCAGTTATTTAGTGTGTGCCTGGGGCTGAGCTGGGCACTGGGAGTGCAATGTGAGTAAGATAGACATATTCCCTCCTTGAGCCCTACACTGCCCTCCATACTAGGTCCCAGGACAGGAGATTAGGAAATACTTTCTTTTTCTCCACTAGCTTATCTGTCTCTACCCCAGCCCACCGCTAGCAGGTGGTACCTCCACCCCCACCTGCATCTGTCTCCTGGTTCTGTCAAGAGCTGTTTCTATGAGAAGACATTAACTCTCTGATGATTAGGTAATAGATACAAGAAGTAACATAAAGGTCTGTCCAAAAAATGAAATCAAAATTGGCAGCCTTCCAGGTCCCTCTCAAAAAGGATATAGCCGTCAAAATTTATAATTTAGTTCAGGTCCCACTTTATTCCATGCCACCTGCATTCTCTCTTTCCTTTCCTCTCTTCCCTTTTGCTATGGCTGCCCCATCCAGGGCTCCTCCTTCCTAAGTTTCCTATGCTTCCGGGCCCCTAGGCCTGCCATTTCAGAGCCTTTCCTGGTGAATCCAGCTGTCATCTTCCTAATGCAACTCAGTGGTTTCCAAGGGTGTCCTGAGCCCTTAGACCCTGCATAAAGGCCTACTGGAAGTCTCTTTAGTCTTCCATTGGTGGAAGGCCTCCTTATTGAGGGTGCCCAAACATCCACCCTTATCCTTGAGTCTGGCAACCTCCTCCTTCCAACACTCCTAGGTCCTACAGCCCCTGCTTTCATCCCAGTGCCATTCTCAGTATTTCTCTGATTTCTCCTATTTTCTTTGGCCATTCATGAGCATAACCTGATAATGTGCAAAGGGAGATCTGTCTAAGCCTATAGTGAATAAGGTTTTTAAAGGAATAAACAGAAATTATAGCCCCCAAATTGAAAACACCCTGGAAGCCACAAACTTGGCTACCTTTGAAAAAAGACAGATCTGGACTTCCGAAGTGTTTTGTTTTATTTGTTTTGGGTTTTGATTTCTTCCTGCCTTTTTTCTTTCTCTCCTTTCTTTTTTAATGTACCAAAGAACTCAATGTTGAATTAGTGAAATCAGCTCATCATGGATACTGTCTGTCTCTTTCAGGAAATAGGGCCTCAGAAGAAAAAAGGTATCCCAGCCTCTGCCAAATCCCACTGTTTCAAATTAGTCTTCCAGTAAAGGCTGTACTAACTGGTCTTTAAGGTCCTCCTATCTCTTAAGCTCTGAAACTCTAAAAAAAAAAGTCCACAGCATCTTTTAGAAAGCTGTCCGAGCTCATATGTGAGTAGAAAATGCATTTGTGCTCAGGGCCGGGTCGGCAGCTGAAGCTCAGAATTGGACTTTCAGAAATGTTTGGGGCCTGCTTCCCTCTTTTTCCTTTCCCTGAAAGGGCCCCTGGTCTTTCCCAAGCTGCTGAGTAGAAGGGAACATGCAGCTCCCCTCCGCCCCCGCCCCCCCACCAGAGCCAAGGGGCCCGAGAGAGGGAAAGCTGGCCCAGGCCCCAGTGTGGGCTCGCCTCTGACTCTACAGGGACATTCCTCCCTCCCAGCCAGCAAGGAACTTTTGGAACTTCTAAACAGTACACCCTCCAGCCAGCCCACCCCAGCATCCTGCACCCCAGTTTACAGACTTTTAGTGGTAAC